AAGACCCAGGCGCCGGCCCAGAGTGGCCTCAGCGGCCGCCGCCACCACCACCATAAAGCCCGCGGCGAGATTGCGACCGGCGCCAGGTGAGTAATAGGGAGAGAAATCCAGAAAGATTGCGCGCGGGTCACCCCCCGTCCATCAGCGCCACAAGAGTTACTCATTAACAACACTACATACAAATAAGATATAGAGATTAAAAAAAGAAGAAAGGGAAGAAAGAAAGAAACAAGGAAGGAAGGAAGGAAGGAAGGAAGGAAGGAAGGAAGGAAGGAAGGAAGGAAGGAAGGAAGGCCCTAGGGGGGCCGGGGACAGGTTTCTGCTCTGCCCCCAAATTTGAGGGATGGATAAGGAGGAGGGCAGGGAATCCTATTGGGAAAGAAAAGCAGGTTAGGGTTTTTTCCCTCCTTCTCTCTTCATACTTGAAACCGAGTTATTTTCTCCCCAATTTGGGACCGCGCACCCGAAGGTCACCAGCCAACTACCACCTTCTCCCGTAAGAGAGTTTGGGTCCAGCGGAGAACAGGCCCTTTCGGGTTGGCTGCGCGGGGGTGGCGCATTGGACTTCTGGTTCCTCCGTGGAGCCGCAGCCTCAGGTCCCCGAGTTCCCCTAAGCCCTCCTCGGCCTCGCCACTCTGGTTATCTCCCCCTCACACACACAGATGGGGAGAAGCAATGGGGGTCCCCACGTGCCTGGGCCAGATGGAAGGGGGCTTTCCCCGCCTCTCCAAAAGGTCTCGACCTGGATTCTTTTCCAAGTACGGGAGGCGGGAGGGAAGGGATCTTCTCCAGGTCGGCCATTCAAGAAGGCTGAAGGTGACAGGGACGTGGGGCCCGGCTGGCGGGCTCCCAGTTGGGGGTGGGGGGAGTCAGCCGCCAGGCAGGCTCCGGCTGGGTCTCCCAGTCATGGCCCCCGGGGGGGGGGCAGAAAAAAAAAGGCCTAAGGGACTGTCTGTACAGAACATTCCAGTGCCGCCCCCCGCCCCCATCCCATCTCCAAATCCGGGCTGCAGGAGACCAAAAGATTGACAGAGGCTCCGCCATTTTTTATTGAAAGATTCAAAGATAAATTGAGCTTCAAAAGACAACTTGCCAAACTGTCTGGGGACTGGTCGGAGGAGCGAACTGGGGGAAGACAGCAGCTTTCTGGGTGACTCTTCCCTTGAAGTTTCCATATGGACTGCCTCTCCTGACCCAAGAAAGTGTGCACACTGTGGGGTGCGTGAGAACTCAGGAAAGTGTGCACCATGTCGGGTGTGCGTGGGAACCCAGGAAAGTGTGCACAAGTTGGGTGTGTGTGGGAACCCAGGAAAGTGTGCACAAGTCGGGGGCGGTGAGGACCCTGGCTGGGCCGGCCCTTCCTACAGCCTCGAAGGCTGCGGGCAGGGATTCTTAGCCTCTTATGCTGCCAGATTCACCGGTGTAGGGAAATTTTTTTTTTTTTTAAATGCACATCAAAAAGGGGCGACGAGTATTAAAACGAAAACTCTCCGTAGAGTGTTCCAATTTATTTTTGGTTGGATTCCTGTGGGAAAAAATGACTTTGGACACGGGGCAAGTCTTTTTCTATTAAAACCCTAAGAATCTGAAATTCCTAATTTACGAATTTAAATCAGGCCCCTTTCCTCCACTCCCGTTCTGCTCCCTAAACTAAAGGGAAAATGTTTTCAGATCCAAGTGGCTCCTTCGCTGGAGCAAGGGACTTTTGTTTATGGCTTTGTAGCTGGAGTGACATACAGTTTCCAGGGACATGGGGGTGTGTGTGTGCTTGATTATTTAAAGGCGAAAGGAAAGGGGTAGGGCAGGAGGAGAAAAAATCCTTTCTGCCTCTCCATCTTCAGAGGTTCTAAGAAAACATTAACACAAGACCGAAAATCATTTCAATAAAAATTTATTGAAATTTCAGTGATATTTTAATGGGAGGGGGGGAGAATTAACAGAAAACCAAAACTCATGAACTATAACACAAAATATACCTTCATGAATACTTTTTTCTTTCCCTTTTTTGCCTTTAAACCGTCACTAAAGCACGTGTCTTTTGAGTTCCTCTCTATTCACCAATTCAAAACACCATCAAGATGAACAGCAGTAGGAACCTTCACTTGGGTTAAGAGGCCAGAGTCGAGCAAATACAAATATGAAAGAAAAATTAAGTCAAACCACAGCCTGTGCAGTGCCTACTCCCCATGGCAATCTCAGAACCCTCTCAGGGTGCCATAGTTTAAAGAATTTCAGGTGGAGCCCAGAAGTGCCAATACCTTCCCTCCCAACCCCCTTCTGCCCACTCTTGGACATTAAAAAAGAAAAAAACAATTTTGCAGACAACTCTTTTGAAAAGTGTGTAGGTGTTGAAACAGCAAGTATGCTTGTTAGTGTGAATTAGCAATCTTGTGACCTGGAGATAAAAACCAACCAAAAGGCAAACAAGGGTAAAACCTGACAGCTGCACTCCTATTTACATGGAGCTATGTACAATTCAATAAATTAAAGTTTAATTTTCCAAGCATTCATATTCCACCTATTTACAGGAGTTATCAAATAATTACATAAATACTTTGTCTAATAGTCTTGTTTCCTCTTTATTATTTCTTTTAAAACCTTGTTATTGCATATACAGTTAAGAGAATGATCAAACAGGGACATGAATCCCGCTACAGCGCTTAGATAAAATAAAGTCAGTTTGTTTTGCCCCCAGTGGTTCCCTTTAGTTCCCACCCCCTTGGTGTTCGCCCATTTGAAGGAGTAGGGTTCAGGACAGGGGTTTATGTCACTTTTCTCTAAAAGTCAAGGCATCCAAAATAAAAACCAGAAATACAAGACTGAAAAACATGCAAGAAGAGACCTATATTGGCTCTTAAAACATCACAAGAACATTAAAAAGACACAGGGTTTCCTTAATATAGACTAAGCAAGGATTTCTTCTGTCCCCAACAAAGATGCTCAGTAATTTATTGAGAACTGATAGGCAAGTCACTATAAAGTTTTCAGTCTTCATAAACAGAATCATATCAATTCATCTGTCCCTGTTTTGGTTGCTTTTCTTTAAGGAAAAAAAGTATTTTTGTTTCCACTTGACAAAACGAAGGGGAAAGAGATCCACCGGGAGAACACTTTCAAACTCCTGCCCTCACAGTGGGCCTGGCTACCTGGTTCTTCCATACCAGCCTCCACAGAACTTGCTTCAGACACAAGTGCCTTTTTTACCCCTCCCACCCCCCATCTCAATGCAACACCTATTTCTGGGCCAGATTCCAGATCAAGAAGACAGGACCTGTTTCTAGCACATTCCCTGAAGGGAGTCCGGTGCCCCTTCCCAGACAAGACTTGAGGGAAAGATATCACCCCACATGGAAGGCCCCTCATTTATTTTACATCCGACAAAGTGCACTGGCAGACTTGACCGAACTGGAATGAAGAGACGTTTTTCTGGGGTGGTTTAAGGAGACCCACTTCGGGACCTGTCCGGCTTGGCCTCTAAGCCACTGACCAGCCGCTGGATGTTTTGCAGTTCACTGGTGGCTGCCTCCTTCTCAGAGCAGAGTTTGGGTGACAAGGACACAGAGCTGGAGGAGAGTGTGGAGGAACGGCTGTTCAGTTCTGACCCGGAGTCCACGGTCACAGAGGCAGGGCTGCCAGCCAGGGCGGCGGCCTTACCGTCCAGGGGCCCTGAGGCTGGAGCCATGGACGGTAGCGCGGTGGCCAGCAAGCTGCTGCTGTCGGGCACGGGCACCGGGATGGAGTAAGGGCTGTAGCGCAGCCTGGGCCGCATGCTGTTCAAACTGAGGAAGGGGTGGCGGTGCACGGAGCTGGAGGCTGCGGCAGAGGAGGCTGCTGCAGCGGCAGCCATGTATGTGTAGGGGTAGGGAAACAGGCTTCCAAAAGGCGACATGGCCAGACCCTGGGGAAGGAAAAGAAGGCACACTGCGAGTCAGAGGGTGGGGGACCTGGGTGGGTTAAGAGTCAATCCCCAGCTTCCACCTCCCGCCACCTGAGGCAAACCACAGACTCCCTCCCCTTTCCTTTGGGGTGGGGGACAACAGTTCCCTAGCTGTACCCTAGCCCACAGCTTCTTTACTTGCCAAACCAAGGGAAATTGCAAGTAATTCATGTTCTGATTGGGGACTTCGTGGCTATTAAATGAACTAATCTTTGCAATATGTCATCTGTTGTGCCTGAGCCTCAGGGACATTAGACATTTCCCATAAGGGCTAACAGCTGCACCTGTGAACTGGACTCATAAAGTGGGTCTCCACCAAGGTGGCTGAGGGAAAACCCCTGGGCATACAGTATCAAACACTTCGTCTTTTCCATTCTTGTTCTACCACACTTCCACACCAATTCTAGAATTTCCCCAAATGAGAAAAATAAGATAATAAGGAAGATGTAAAACTGGGAGAAGAGAACGAAAAGGTATTTGTTATCAATATGAAGAAATCAAGCATCCAGTCTCAAAGGCTAATTAATGTCCCAGGTAGAAAGACGAGGCTGGTGGCTGTGGGGAGAGCAGGGACAGGAATTCACAAAAAGACAGAATTTGAAATGCAGGGGGTCCTGGGGGTGTATCCCAAGCCTGGAGATGCCAAGATGTCTGTCTGTCCAGGCAGCCCCTCCCCCACCTGTCACCTGCTCACCCGATGTACTGAGAGTAGACCTGCATGAGATGGGAGGGATGGAATCACACAAGTAGCCAGACTAGTTCTTCCCCTCTACCCCCCACTGAGGAGGACCATGTGCCTTTTGGCTCAGGCAAGGGAGACAAATGTGCTCAGACAAAACAAAAGGCCAAAGAGCGGGCAGAAAACCCCAGAGAACCTTCCCATCAGGTTCAGAGCCTCTCCTTGGCCTCTCAGTGCCCTAGCACAGCTGTCTGAACCACACACAGGCTTGCCATGGCCAGTTCCCCTCTTTGACATTTCCCACGTGTGTATTAATCCATGGGAGACAGGCTGGCCTGCTGGGGGTTGGGGGTGAGAGAGAGCAGCTTTGAACTCGGGAAGCCTGCTGACTCCAGACTGAATTCTCACCCAGGGAGTCAGTCACACCCCCTGCCCACACCTCTATCCCTTCTGTCTGATTCCTGGGGAGGATAGCAGCTAAGAGACTCTAAAGAAGGTAAAATGAAAAGGGCCCTGCAGTCAGACAGCATGATATATACAGACTCACCTTCCTCCATTAGGGACCAGCTGTGTGATCTAAGTCAAGTTGACTCAATATCTCTGGGCCTCAGATCATAACAGTACCACACTGAAGGGTTAGATTCAGTGAGTCAAATTTGTTATAAAGTAGTGTTGTGTGGGGCACTAACCTCTAGAACAGTCCTTGGGTAGCATTTAAGCAGATTTCTTGAGGGGGGACATGTTGACTCAATGAGTAAGTGTCACACCTTGCAACGGGTCAATAAAATATTATAATGGCTGTTATCATGTATTATTGTTTAAAGGTCCCAGGAAAGGCGCTGGGACTGGAAGGGAGACAGGAGACATGGGGGAGGGAGGGGTTGGGAGTCAGCAGAAAGGAAGGGCCCATACCTGGGAGGCCAGGACATGTTGCTGGAGGTGGAAAGGCAGGGTGGCCGCTGATGCCCCGGACAGTCCCTGTGCCGCGGCGGCGGAGGCCATGGCGGTGGAATCCAGGCCCGAGACGCCGGTGGATGCCCCAGACACAGTGGCCAGCAGGGGCCCCATGCCGGCGGCCATGCTGGAGAAAGCACCCCCCATGGCGAACTGGCTGGGGTGCAGGAACAGAGGGTGCCCGTTGAAGAACTGCTGACCTGCCAGGCCCGGGGCGAAGCCGAGGCCGGGCAGGGGCCCCTGGGCCAGGTGCGCGGCGGCGTCCGTCTGCACCGTGAGCGGCCCAAAGGCGTCCTTGGCCGGCAGCGCGCGCGCCTCCTCCACCTTGGCTGCGCCCACCTCGCGGCCAGGACTCCTGCGCTCCTCGGCGCCCAGGCCGCGCGTGCTGGAGGAGATGGTGGCCGGGCTGTGGCGCGAGTCCGGCGACGCCTTGTCCAGCCGCGCGCTGTCCCGGGGCCGGCCGACCGGCTCCGCCGAGAAGAGATGCGCCTTGACGGCGGGGCTGCCCTTGTCGCGGCCCGGCTCCTCCGATGTGGTGGTGGAGATCTTGGCCGCGTCGCAAGCCTCGGGGCCGTGCTCCTCTTTGCTCTCCGCCTCCGCGTCGCTCTCTACCTCGCTGGGACACAGATCTATTGGAGAAGGAGAGAAAAACGCCCGGGGGAAAGGCGTTAGCTTCATTCGGGCCGGTGGAAATCCAGTTTCCAAGTTTAAATCGCACCTCTGATCCAGGCAACGCTGATCCCCAGCACTGGGGAGTCTGAGGCCGGAGGACAGTCTGGGACACAGAGTGAGACTCTTGTCAAACTCTCAAACAAACAAACAAACAAACAAACAAACAAAAAGACTATTCTCCTGGGCAGTTGACTGACTGTGCAACCCCAGGGCTAACCCTGCACCACTCTCTTAACCTCAGTTTTTCCATCTGTAGGTTGGGATAAAGCTATCTAACACCTTTGCTGTTAAAGTCAACAAGCAAACAATCCCAAGTGTTTAGGTGGAGTTTAACCTTCCTTAGTCACACCCCAAAGTGGCGGCTCTTGTTTAAGAGTCTATTTAAAAAGCTCTGGCCACATCAAAGCTTTCTCTAGCATTTCTCCATTGGATTGCAAATTTATTTTTTAAAATGAAAACTAAGTCACTTTAAAACTCTCAGCTGGCACACATTCCTGTTACCTCCAGAGTCTTTGCGGGGGGGGGGGGTCAAGAGCTTCCATAAATTTGCGAATAATTTTAGAAGCATTTGTTTGGAAAGAGTCTGAATGGGCCCTGGCAGAAACACCCCCCTCCAACAACGCACTCCCTCCGGTGTTCACCTAAGTCCCTAAAAAGAGGGCGGGTGAGACCATCAGACCATTTACTTTTTCACTTCTACCACACCCTCCTCTGTGGGTGTCCTTCCTGACAAAAAAGGAAAAGGAATCCTATTTTATGTTAAAAGCTTAAATGGATTGAAGACAAAGAACTTTCCGTTTTATTTCACTTAAAAACAGGTTTCTTCCCGTTGAGAGCGTGCCTTTCTAAATAAATAGTGCTTGCTCTTTAAACACAGAATTGGCTCGAGAATCAAACTACCTCTTACACACACACACACACACACACACCCCACAGAGCAGATCCCCAAGAACTCCACCTCCCTCCCGTCCCAGGTCTGCAGCAGCTCCAAGGCTGGTCTTTCCTCAGTTGTCTTCCCTTTCCAGGTGGTAGAGGATCCCCAGCCTCCTCCCAACCTAACATTTTAATGCAGAATTCACAGTTGGATGTTGACCAGCAGTTAGGCTGTTGGTTGGAAAGAGATGGCAGAAAGGGGCAGAGACTGGAGGATGGAGGGACAGAGAAAGAAATGCTTCAGTCGCCTGGCTAAACAGGCACACGCACAGGGATGTGGGGGAAGGCATTCTAATGTCTGCTTGCTTAATGCTACCTTGGAAGAGGCACACATCTGATACCCCCAGTGACTCCTGTTTGCAGATTCTATCTAGAAAGGGTCTGTATCTTAGAAAGGGTAAGTCTACTGGTCAGGGCCTTCCCTCATCCCCAACACCTCCAGGTCAAGAGGATCCAGAGCCCAATCATCACAGAGGTGGCCAGGCTTACCTTTGAGGTTGGAGGTCCCCACAGTGGACACGGCTGGAGAGGAGGCCTGGGCAAAGCAGTTGAAGGCTGCCTGTTCACTTGAGGACTCGTCCGAGGTCCCAGTCTCCTTTTTGTGTCTCTCGTCAAACACCCTCATGGACTGCAGGGTGAGCTGCTTTCTGTGGTGGAGGCCCACACCCAGCATTAGCCCAAGTCACAAACATTTGCCTTCTTTGTCTCCCTCCTCCCCTTTGCAGAGTGGTACACCTCACCCTGCTGCCACCTTGGAACAACCTGAATTCTGTGAACTCTGCTACTGGCCCCAGGGCAGCCCCAGCACTGCTCCTGACTGTTCACTGGGTTGAAGACAGTGCATTAGGAAAGAACGTTTGCTTGGCTGGGGAAATCTTGTTTAAAAACATGAGAACAGAAGCTGGAGTTGGCCAGGGACAGTTACACTGACTGCCCTTACAGCAGGAGGGTGCTGTGAACACAATACTGCCTGTCCTCACCCTACGAACTCCTGTGTGGTTGCTAAGATGGGGGGAAGTGCTTATTACATGGTATGCTCCACTCTAATCGGTTCACCAACACATTAATTGGAGTTAAAGGTTTATTTCAATGTTAGGAATTATTTTGTAATGCTCAGCCCCCAGGGGATAAGGTTAAAAAAAATGGGGGGTGATATTCTGGATTGTAGAAAATCTTTGAAAAGGAATGGGGGCGGGCAGGTTCTTTCTATAGTCTCCAACTGTCTACTTAATGCAAAATGATACAGAGACCCATGAAGGAGGGAGGGAGCCCTGGGTCTCTCCAGGGGCCTCAGCTGTGTCCAATGCTATCAGGAAGATGTGTTTGCAAGACTTCCAAAGCAATTTGTGAATGGCTTGGTCACTTCTTGGGTCTCGCCCAGAATGAACTTAAATTAATTAACAATTAATAGGAGAGTCTATATAATCTTTTACCACTGGTATTTTCTTCCAGTCAGAACTGCAATGTAGCTTATTTCCCTTAAAGGCACCCAGTAACAGAGGAAGTCATCTGCAGTGGCCACAGGGGAGCAAGAGAGAGGAAAAGCCTCTCCACTCTTCTCACTCACCCTACTTCTAGCACTTCAAAAAGTTAAATTCTAGGAAAACAGTTTTCCATGAAACTGTCCTGGGGAAATATGATCCCAACTCACCGTTTTTCTCTCCTGCCATTTCCAGTGTCCCGAAAACCTTTTGCAAAAGGGTTGTTGTCTATTTTTAACTGAGTTATCTAGAAGAGGAGAGATATAAGCAAGACAGACATTGGCCCCACTTTCTATAATGTTCTGAAGGTGTTTCACCTCCCTTCCCCAACTCCTCAGTCTCTCTTAGAAATGTGACTGGCCACAGAGTCACATGGATAAACCAGGTTAAGGTGAGCAGGGAGATGCCGGCAGGGACTCTGGGAGTGGGGGAAGCAAAGCACAATTGTTAGCAAGATTTATGGATTATCCAAAGAAATTCTTTCCTTTGGACAGCTTCATTTAGAGAATATACTCAAAGCTGTCAAGATGCACAATCTAAAATTTATCTGAACATTGCACTCTTGATTTTTTTAACACAGTATAATTAGTGAATTAAAATTGCTAAAGCACTCTTTTCTGTTGCCTTCAAGCCTCTCTTTCTCTTTTTCACACACACACATACACACACACTATAAACATGCCAACCTTTTCCATGTAATAAAATGATTTATGGGGTTTCACTACCCTTGTGTTCCACTGAATTTTTTTCCCTCTGTGGAGGGGCAAGAATGGAGTTTAAGGAATTATAATGTTGAGAATTACAGATTTAAAAGGCAGGAATAACCATTGGCAACATTTGTTTTCATTTATGTGTAATATGTTCTCTGCCACCACCATTAGGTGGAGAAGACTCATGGCCTCTGATTTTTTTTTTTTAAAGCTACGTTTTATTATTACACTAACAACTTAATTCATGCAACTTTCACAGGATTCTGGGAGTAGAAGGAAATCCACATTTTCATAGACTGTGGCCAAATGTTGTACTATGTAATCTTTAAAACCCCTTCTCTCTGGAAAGAAGTTATACATCCAGTCATGGGGGTGGGGGTGGAACACGGGTGCTTAGGCTGGATTCTTGTTCCTGAAACACACTGATGGATGCAAGACACCAAGTTTTGCATGAGGCAAGGAGAGGAAGGGGTGAGGATTTAGCATCCAGACTAGGAAATATGGGCGGAGCAGCATAGCAGCCAGCTGACATCTCAGGGACAGTGACCATTCGTTCAAAGTGTAAGGTGTTGCCAGGAGAAGTGGACTCTCCCTAAGGTCCAGGGCTCAGATGAAAGAGCTGCAGGGTCCTTCGCCCCTCCCTAGCCCCTCCAGTTGCCAAGCTGCATACTGGGGAGCAATCAGTAATGGGCTCTCTGTCTGTGCTGCTATACCCATGATCTTCATGCCAGGAGATTCCAGGTGTGATCCTGGCTTGGAGTCCTTTGAATCCCCAGCCTTAGGACTAAGGGAGAAAAACTTTGACGAATTGGTGACTACGGCTACCTTCAAGTTGGAAACATCAGATAGTGACCATGCATCAGGATGCAGTTTTTCAAACACACACACACACACACACACACACATACACACACACACACACGGGGGGGGGGGGGGGGAGAGAAAGAGAGAGGAAGAGAAAAAAAAAACAAAAAAAAAAAAAATAAAAACACAAAAAAGAGAGGCGGAAGATAGGGAGAATGCGAGAGACAAGAGGCAAAATAAGGAATTAAGCAGAATCCTGGCCACAGTAGTAAGAAAGAAAGACGAGGGCAGAGTAGAGAGGAAGGGAGATTGAGGGCGTGTCCAACTAGGGTCAGACCAGTGTGCCTACCGCAAGGAAAAAGGACACTGGGCAAAGGACTGTACCAAGAGAAAGAAGAAACAAAGGAAAGACAGAGCTGAAATCCTTAACCTTGATTAGGAAGGTCGGGGCCAGGAACCCCCACCCCGCCCAGGGATGGGAGGATGAGGATCAGAGACCGACAGCACGTTCCCCGACGTTGCACAGCACGCCCCCGGCCTGACCTTCGTCTCCACCCCTCCGCTCTGTCCCCTGTCCAGAGTCATCATGGCCTTTTGCCCTCAGTTGGCACTTTTACTTTGGAAAAACTACATTTATCGCAGGAGACAGCCGATCCAGCTACTCGAGGAACTGCTGTGGCCCCTGTTCCTGTTCTTCATCCTGGTGGCCATTCATCACTCGCACCCCCCAGTAGAGCACCACAGTTTTCTGTCCACATCAGGTGGCTCACAACTGCCTATAACTCCAGCTCTAGGATAGGCCCTCTTCTAGGCTCTGTGGGCACCTGTACTCATTTGCAGAGAGAGAGAGAGAGAGAGAGAGAGAGAGAGAGAGAGAGAGAGCATAAAAAACACAGCAGCATAAAAAGTAATACAAACCAGACCAGCTACCCAGGATTTCTGGCTAGGGGAGAAAAGCTGGTCTTTACTTAGATTCTCCTGCCAGGATCCCAAATTTTTTTTGCCTTAAATTGCTAGCTGGTTCCTTTCAGTTCTAATTTCTCGATCCTTCCTTCTGAAGGAAAGGATGAACATGGAAACAACAGAAAGAAGCCCCTGGGGGCAGGGGCTGGAGTGGAATTTGTGCCCATCGCCTTAGGAGCTTCAGGCTTGAGACCTCAAGTCAAGCAGTTTTTAATTCAGTCAGATTCCTAGCTGGGGGAGTTTTCTTTTGGTCCCCTCAAAGGAGTCAGGCCTCTGTCCTCAAAGACTCCACAGAAGGTCAAATCACATAAGAAAATTCCAGATGCTCAAGTCCAATTCCCTGCTAACTTTCTCATCTTGATGGGAAGTAGCTTAAAGGTAGATCGTTTAAAACATCAAAGTCCTGTAGTTAGTTACCTTATCATTCTGGTAGGCAGTCACAGCAATGAATTCAGTTTCAGGAAATAGGTAGGTCCGAAATGTACTATAAGGTAGTTTCAATATATCATTAGCTCTGACGATGTGGAACCGGGGCTGGTATTTGTGCATGGAGTTCAATATGGTCTGTGGACACAGGGAAGGGGACACACACGTTAAAGGAGAGGAGGGAAGAAGCATAGACAAATGGTATCTTGGTTCCCCTGCCAAGCTGACATCTTTCCCACCTTAGGGTATCATGCTTGGTCCAAGCCCACCTCCTTGAATACATTTCACTCCACAGATGTTATCTTCTGCAGACTCCAAATCGGTCCTCAGTTTCCAAAAGAGCCTCCCCCCACCCTTGCCACCTACAGTTCATTAGTACCTTGAACCCTAGCCTACCTGGGTCCCCAAACTATAATTCCCCTGCCACGTTGCGTGATCGCTTGGAAAGGCCAAAGTCTTAAAAGATAGAGAAAAACATGCATTTTAATTTACAAAATGATTCAGTGCTTTAAGCGCCCACTAATTGACAAGCCCAATCCACTTAAAGCCTGGAGAGGCTGAACTCTAAAGAGGAATATTTATGCCCTAATCGAATCAAGGGCTTCAAATGCAATCCCAGTCCGCTTTAGATATTTCCGAGCCATTCACATTTCCCTGGCCTAATCTTCCTGCTTATACGTCGCTTATCACTTTGTTTATTTTATTGAAATGTTGGGGAGGGGCAGAGGAGGGCAAAAGGTCCCTGGGCCAGACTTTTACAGATAATCCAAGTCTTCTAAGTCTCTAAACACACTCTCACAGAACCCATACATCCACTCCCAACACACACACACACACACACACACACACACACACACACACACACCATTTTTTTAATTCCAAAGATCTAAGACTTGTTTCCAGTAAACCCGACTTTCATGCAAAGCCCAATTCTCTTTTAGTAAAAGAAAACGCACTTTCAAAAATGTATTCACCCTTTAACCAACATAGTTGAGGCTTTGAGAAGTTAAACTCTCCTTAGAAATGACATGGCCCATTTCAGAGAAGTATGTTTCCAAGCAGAACAAACTATGTCCAGGCACACAGCTTTAGAACTGATTTGGGTGTTATTCTTCAGTTCAGGTCCGGCACTCACCAAGGACCTGGGATTGCTATAGAACAAGAGGCGCTAAGTTGTCCTGGTCCATTTCTTTTAGAATGCCAGGGCCTTGCATTATCCAGGGAGCAACACCCCAAAATCCACTCTGCAGCTGGGTTGCAAATTGAACCAAGTTGGCTAAGTTTAGCAACAACTTAGCCAAAGAGAGGTCTGGGCCAAAACTCAGAGTTTACCAGAACAAGGAAGTACAACCTTGGGCTGAGCGAAGGAGAAAAATCTCACTGAAAGAAGCAGTGAACTTACAAATCCGTGTTTATCCGAGATGTTGTTGGTGAGTTTCAGTTTGTGGAAAGTGACGACTTTGGACATCCATTGCTCCCCGGTAGCCGGGCTGTCCGGGTGAATGTACATTCTCTTTGGCATTTCGGGGTCCGCCTTACCGGCCACCATCCACCGAGAATTGTGAAATTTATATCGACAGTCATCTGCGGCAATAATGTCCATCAATAAAATGTATTTGGCCTTTTTATCCAGCCCAGAACATCTCACTTTAAAGGGAGGAAACATTCGCCTATGAGAGGAAAAAATAGAAAAGGAAACTAAATAAATAAATGAGACAGGTAAACGGCTTAGAATCTTCAGCTTTGATTCCAAGGCATTCTAAAACATCTGAACAAGTTTAAAGCTTTCCATTGGGGTTGGTGAGCTTGTACTTTCCAAAGTGAGGCCACTGGATGCAAATTGTTTTCTCCCACATTGGCATATTAAAAATGCTTGAATTTGCCATATTTTGATATCCCAGGACTCAAGACAGATGAATTACAGCACTGCAGGTCCCTACTATTTCTTTAAAATTTGTTTTCTCTCCTCTGCGCACCTGTACAGTTCACCCTCTGTAAAGGAGTCTTGCCTAAGTCTTTTTTTTTTTTTTTTTTTTTCCTGAGTGAATTTAGTTCAAAACAGCTAAGGGGTGAATTCTAGGGAACTGTGGTCAGTAAAGGTGAGAAGTTTTCCATCAACCCATGAGTGAAAAAACATTAAACTTCTCAAGGAAATAAACTCCCAGTTAGCACTGGAATGATAATCCAGCTCGTGGTTGGTGAAATACTGTGAGTTCTCAGAACGAATTCGAAGCGGGCCTGACAAGAGATCCATTTCCTTGAGCTAGCTATTCACCATATCCCCTACTCTTTAGGCCAGGCCGCCACTGCAAGGGCCTGCCACCCAACTGCTGTTTAATTTCACGGACGTGTTGGCATTCTGCACTTTTGACTTAAAAGGAAGCACTTTATTGTGAAAACCAACTAAATGTCTTGTGGGTTGGAGAAAGATCTGATGCCAAACTTTGGGCCTCAAGTAGCTTGGAAGGAGACTGAAGAAGCTGAGGACGCCTAGAGGGGGTATTTTGATTTGTATCCTTTCATCCAGACATCTTGATAATCCTCAATGCTATGTAATTTTTTAAAATCAGGGGTTTTAAATGCTGGTCCTTGGGTCTTCTCTTCCAGGAATGCTCTGACCAGGCAAGGACATCTAAACATTATGTAAAATATGATTTATAATATTCTGACACAAAAGTCAAGTGCTAAACCTGATGGGTTGCCTTGGTCAACAAACATAATCTTAATTATCAAAATCGCCCTGCTCAGTTCTGGCTGGGGTTACAGACATGTGAAGTGCATCAGGAAACAAACTCGAAAGCCCTTCGACTTCTCGGTCCCTAGCTAAGCAGGCTTAGGCCCCCTTCAAACACTTGAGGCTAGCTAGCTAGGCAGGACAGAAGGAGCCCCGGGATAACTTCAGGTCACTCACACTATCTTAACACAAAGGGGCTTTGAGTTTCTGTCTAGGAAAACAAAACCAGAGAAAAACAAACAAAGAAATAGTGATTTCAGAAAGCCTTTTACTGTGATTTCCTGCAATGGAGTAATTTTCTTACTTCCAACAGAAGTGCGTGTGTTGTCTCCATTAAAATCCGCCATCCCTTTCAGAACGGAACCCGGGATACGGGTCTCTAAGATCCGTGCAGGCAGCCTAGGTGGGCTGAAATTTCTTTTCTCCTGGGCAGGACCCAGGAGTCCCTGTGCGTAGTTTTAGGGGCATATAATTTTCGTCCCAGCCGTAACAACTAGGAAAAGCGGCTGCTGAGAAAGGCGATAAAGAGAGACATACAAACCTGGTAGCTTAGAGGAAGGGGGTCTCGCTCAGCGCTTACCTTCCCGACTTCGTAATGACCATCTCGGTGCCCCGCTTGTGAAACTGATCCCAAAGTTCCTTGGCCTCCAGATGCACTTTGGGGTCGTCCTCCACCTCTTCCTCGGGCTCCATCGTCTTCAGAGGCCTCAGATGCGCCTGGGGTCCCAGGGAGGAGAACGGGATGCCGGTCTCGGCCGCCCCCACCAACTGATCCATGATGGGCTTGGCCAGGGCTCCGGGTAGGGAGAGCGCCGCGGCGCCGTTGGGAGGCAGCGTCAGCGCGGGGAAGAAAGACGGCTGGTGGCCCAGCACCGCACTCATGGCGAAGTCCGGCGCCCGGTGAGGTAGGAACGGATGATAGGCCATGCTTGTCCCAGGAATAACCGGATCTCTCATGGAGAGGCTCATCCACTCTGGACAGGGGCAAGTCCGCAGCTGCTGGCTTGGTTTTGCCTTTTTGTTGGTTTGTTTTTAATTCAACAGCAGCACATAGTTTTTGTTTTTGTTTTTGTTTTTTTTTAAAAAAAAGCAAATTTAAAAAGGAACAAATCACAACAAAAGCACTTGAAAGGGAACGGGAACGTGGACGCAGCTTTTAAAGTGGGCACGCCAACAGATGAGGAGACATCGCCGCTGGGGTGACTGTCCCTGTGCCCGGCGTCTTTTAAAAGCCGCTCCGGGAAGTGGGTTTCGGAGGCGGGAGGAGCGAGCTGGGTCTCGGCTGGAAACAGACACCCTTGCCGTGCGCCCTGGTGGCTCCCGGCTCCCACGCTCTTTGTTGCAAATGCAAACGCTTCTCCTAGAAGACTTTTTTCTTTTTCTCCTTCTTCTCTCCCGCCTCCCAGCTCTTCCCCTGGCTTTCTCGCCGCTCTGCAATTGCGCTGCGCTCGGCTTTCACTCGGAGTGAGAGATCGAGAGAAAAAAAGTCTCTTAAAAAAAAAAAAAAACCAAACAAAAAAAACAGTCAACTGATTTAAGCCCTTTCCAGCAGCGCTATCAAAACTTGAACTGCAACAGCGGCTTCCGTTAGCGCTGCTCCTCCTTCCTCCGGCTCCGCGCTCCCGACTGGGTCTGGGTTTCAATCCCGAATGGTGCCTGCAATCTTGTGCTTCCCGGACTCGCACTCTCTCTCTCTCTCTCGCTCCCTCTTCCTGGTCCTTAAAAAAAAAAAAAACGTGAGCGAAATCGCTTCCTAAAAATCTGCGTCCGGGCGCGCAGGGCAAGGGAGGATCGAGCGAAGGGTGCGAAAATCAAAATCAGGATCAAACTGGGAAAAGAGGCAGAGAGAGGAGGGATCCGGAGACCGAGTAGGCGAGGAGAGAGTGGGAGGGAAGAAGGGAGGGAGCGAGAGAGAGAGAGAGAGAGAGAGAGAGAGAGAGAGAGAGAGAGATCGCCACCCTCGGCTTCTAGAACTCCGGGGCGTCTGCTCGGCGGCTCTAGAAGGTCGGGCCGCGCTGTGGGCTGCGGGCAGCCGGAGGCCTCTTGATTGGTTCTTTGACGCTTTCGGACCAATTGTGTTGCTGCATAGGCGTGGTTTTCACAGGTCGAGTGCTGGGGGGGGTGGGGGGAATAGAGCCGAGTTATAAAAAGAAGGTGTCGGAAACTGGAACGTCGCAGCGCGGCATCGGTACTACTGCGAATGTCAACAAGATGAGAGGGGAGGGCGGGGAGCCACCGGGGAGCCGCGCGCGCGCGCGCGGTCGCCTCTAGGTGGCTTATCCAGAGAGATCGCCGCAGCCCCAGAGCTCTCCCCGGCTCCCTCTCGCTCAGCCCACGTCTGAAATGCCTCAGCCATCTAAGCCCTGGGGAGCCGGGGAGGAGGCTGGGCCAGGGAGGAAGGGGGAGGGAGCTAGGGAGGGAGCCCGGCAGCCTGGCCACCTCGAAAGGCGCCGGGCAGGGGCGCTCGCCTCTCGCGCGCTCCGACCCGTTCGCTGCTCCTCCTACCCGTGGTAGCTTCTCCGGGCAGATCTGCCGCTTCTTCCTTCCCTCGGCCCTGGGCGAGCGGAGCCGGAGGCTGAGCCTCCCCTCCGGACGCTCGGCGCCTCTAACAAAAGCTGCAGGCAGCCGGGCCGGCGGCGCTCTCCCTCTCCCGGCCCCACGTGGAGCCGCCCGGCCTCCTCTAAGTCAGGGTCCCGGAGCTCGTGCGTCTCGGGGCTCCGGCTTTCCTCGCATCAGGGCTTCCTGAGACACCAGCGCATGGATGCCCACAGATCTCGGCACACGAGTGTGTACACCCCCTCTTCCCATCCGCAGCCATGTGCAGAGACCCAAACGGCCCCGGGGCATCTGCACCCAGATGCGCGCCAACACCCCACGCGAACAAACACGTACACGCAAACACGTACACAGCTTGCGCGCCCGGCCCAGTCTGCTCTCGCTCCGCGAGAAAGACTGGGGGGGGTGTTTTTTTATTTTTAATGAATTTACTGACCCTTTTTATCTCTGCTTCTCTGTTGTTTTCGGATGCGGACTCCAGTGCTCCACCCGGATTTGGGTGTGGGTGTAGACAGGAGAATGAAGGCTCTGGAACAAGTGAGTGCCGCGACCGCTTAGACTGTGGGGCCTGTCTTCTCGGAGCCTCTGCCCTCACCTCGGGGCCAGCTCGGCACGGAGCTGCGGATCAAGGCTGGGAGACCTGGTTGGGGGAGGTGCGCCCGCCTGGTATCTTCCTCAGGCATCGCACTTATCTCTTGGTGCCTTAGTTCTTTCTCCACCCCGGGGACTTATCGCCGCCGGAGTCGGGGGCGAATTTGTAAAACAAACCGTGAAACGCCCCCTTACCCCAGAGGCCGGGGGACTGGTTCCAACTTATCGGGGTGGGGGTGGGGGGTTCGGTGAGGACTAGGAGAGGAAGATCTTCCTGATCTGTCAGTGATTTGGTAACCCTGTTACTGCAACTTGTACTAGGGTCAGAGGACTCCCCCAGTCCACAGTCCTCATGGGGGGGGGGGGGAGTTAGGCCTTCTGTATTTAAGTGGTGGGAAATTTTAGGGTAGTGTTTTTTCCCTTTCCTGTGAGAAGACTTTCGGGACTTGGACAGGGAACAGAAGTAGGGCTGTTTGTGTGCCTGGAAGTTTAGCCTTGAGTGTGTGTGTGTGTGTGTGTGTGTGTGTGTGTGTGTGTGAAGTGTGTGTGTGTGTGTGAACCAATACAACTCTGTCTCACGTTATACCTCGTGGACCAGACCTCCAGCACCCTACAGACTGCAAGTCCGAAGTGGTAGCCACTGGAAAGTAGAAAGGCCATCCTGTAGGCCAGTCCCTCCCAGACAAGGAAGAGCATTTGAGGCTATAAGTTTTTCCAGCGCCGCATTTTTTGATGCACATGGTTAAGGGCGTTTGGCGCCAGCACTGAGCTCTCCTTGATGTCGCCACAGAGAACAGAGCCGTTTTGTGAACTTGGTCTGACTCGCCATCTCGACCCTTTCTTTCCCTTTTCTGTCTGTCCTGTCTCTCACTACCCATGGTTAAGAAGCAAGAAAGAGACTTGGTACCCAAGGGGGTGGCTTATAACACCCCTTCCAGTGTCCCTGGCTGCCGATTCCCAAGAGAACAGGAGGCCAGGCCCGGCTCCTCTGCCCACCGACCACGAAGGTGGCCACACAGTTTCAGGAGGCTCGGGAGGCAAGGGTCACCCCTTCTCCACAGCGCTGGCCTCCCCAGTCTAGGGCAGCTGGCTACGCTATCCAGAGCCGCCCTGGAGCCCTGAGATCTGTTCTGTCTGCCCCGGCCAATTAATCTCTGCTCCCCGCGTAGAGTGCAAGAAAAGCAATTCTGCAGCGGCATTGTGATTGACCCCCTAGTCACCCACACGGTGCCCCGAGGGCCCGCAGGCCCGCAGGAGTGACTTGGGTACCCGATCCCCAGCATTCTGGCCTCGCGATCTGCTTTGAAAACAGGAGGCGAGCCTGCTGACTTTGCTTGTAAATATCTCGCCTTGCTTTTGGCTCTAGCGTAGACCCAGAGCGATTTCTGACCCTCACGCCGCCCCTCCTTCAGTTGCCTATTTTTGTCTGTAGCTCTAATTTAACCCTGGGGTCACCCCAGTTCGCCACTTCTGTCTTCCACCCCTTACTCCCGTGCGCCGGGGAGTGGGACGGGGAGGGGGAAGCAAGTTTGCGGGGTTCTGAATCGAAAATGCCTACATCTTGCTAATGGTCTGCAAACTTCCGCCAATTATGACTGGCCTCCCAGACTCTGCCCCTGGAGGCTCGTATTCTGCAGGGAGACCGCCGAGATTCTAGGATCAAAAGAGGGAAGGTGCGAACTCCTCTCTGTCTCTGCGTGCCCGCCGTGCCCCCCTCCTGGTGGGTGATAAACCCACTCTGGCGCCGGCCATGCGCTGGGTGATTAATTTGCGAACAAACAAAAGAGGCCTGGTGGCCACTGCATTCAGGTTAAACATTGGCCAGTACGTTCCTACGACTTGTGCCAGGCCTGGCCTCCCGGAGAACCCACAGGGCTAGGGGTCTTGAATCCTGGCATAATCCTCACATAGGTGCTTGTTCTTTTTTATCCTGATCTCTCCTCTCCCTCAGCCTGAGACTCAACAAAAGACTCCCAAGACATTGAATTTAGCCAGTCCCTCAACAGGATCGGAGAATTGGGTGAAAGACAGGCAGAGGGAGCCCACAGTCTGATTCAGAAAGGATTCACAGAACTTCGGGGGTCTCTAGAATATTCTTTTATCTTTTGCAGAAAGAGTCTTTTTTTATTTAACTGTAGGCCTGGAATTTTGAAAAAGATAAATAAATTTTTAAAGCTCCACATTTGTAATGCTTGCACGTCTGAAGCAAAAAGAATCGAATGTGTACACATAGAAAATACTTAAAGATGGGGCTTTGAAAGTGTGCATATGGCAGAGGGTAAACCAATTGTCCTCAGCAGGCATTGGGAAGCCAGCACATAGAGAAATGGGCAGAAACCTCCGTGATATCTCATTTTCTCCTAGGGCACCATCTTCCTCACACTCTGAAGGGGACACACAGACCCTTTTGTGATCAAATGGTGTTTATCTGAAAGTTTACAAAAAAGAGAGGGGAAGAAAGGAGGGGGGACTGGGGGCTGGGTGGGGCAGCTGGCTTTGGCAACTTTGCTGTAAATATTCTCTTCAGCATGTGTGAGGTCTGGCCAGGTTCTGTCAGAGATACTGTTGCAGGCTTATTCCCTCTTAAACCTTCACCCTGGTTCACCACCAGGCTTTATTCAGTCCAATGTGTTGCTGTAATGGCAATCTTGTTGGCATAAGGGCCCATGAGTGCCTCCTGGAGGTCTGAGGCCTAATTATGAAGTTGGGGGAAGTCAAGGCATCAGCTCTTACAGTGGGAGGGGCTCTTGGTAGCCTGGCAGGGTAGAAATGACTCTCTTTGGGCCCAATGCCCTGGCACATTTGATTCTGAGATCTCAGCCTTTTTGATATGCTCTCTCTTAGAAACTAACTAGTCAAGGGTGTGGGATTCCCACCCTTCTTCTAATTTCTCCCATCAGAGATGTGGTCTCTTATCATAGATCCCAGCTCAGCAGTCTCTGGACTACCTGGTTTGGTTCAGCATTGACAGTTTCCCTGCAGGTCTCTGCCAGCACAACCCCTGCACACACGTATGAATGATGCTGATTACTTCGGTTCACTCTCCTTGTGCTGTGCGGATTCTGTTCAGACCCAGAGGCTTGCCTTTCATCCTGGAAGGAGCTTTTCTCCCTTATCCCCTGCTCACCAAAATTTGCTCAGAGAGTTTAGTTCTCTATGGTCTGGAGATTGGTGGTTAGCCCCTTTGAAGAGGAGTGAGAGTCCTAACTTCTTCTCTGCTTAGGACAGGAACCCTCTTGGTTGGACCAGACAGAGCAAGGCATTCCCCTTTGTCCCTCCCTCCCTCCCTCCCTCCCTCCCTCCCTCCCTTCCTCCTTTCCTCTCTCCAGGTTTATCTCCTTGTCTCCGTCCATCCCCATTGAGAATTCTCTGCCTGCAAATGGGATTGCTGTGTTCCCCTTCCCTTCCACTTTCCCTTCTCCTGTCCTTTTGTTCTTGGTTTCAGTTCTCCATCTCTCCCATTTGTTGTCTCTATTTCTTCCCCTCTGCTTCCCCTGCTATCTTGGTGCTTTCTAAATTCCTTATTTTCTCTCTCTCTCTCTCTCCTTTTCCAGTATCCTTGACAGACTGGAACCTCTTCACGGGGTCCTAACAAACACTTCTCCCCCTTTCTTTGCCAGGGGGTGGGGGGCATGGTAACAGACAGTGGCTTAGCCCGTTTGTCTTGACTGCAAGTTTCCCCTTCTCTTAACTTCTCCAAAGTCACCTTTTTCTTGACTGGGTTGCCATCCCTGTTCCTATGTCTTATGATTCCCTCCCCTCTCCAGGGCAGGAGCCCAGAGCGAAGGGGTACAGGCCAGGCTCCAAAGTCCAGCTCCTAGTTCCTGCCTTGTTCCAGCAGGACATAGCTTTCCTTTCCTGTAACGCATTTTTCTCTGTCCTCTGACATCCTTCTAAATTATTGATCAGGGCAATCCAGTGCAAAGAGTCTGAAGCTTGTGTGAGAGAGGAGATTGTCAGAGCTGTCTAGCTTGGGGAAGCAGTATTTTTAGTAGACAGGCTCAGGTTGGCGCCAGTTGGTTTATGCTGTTTCTAGGGGTCATTTGTTACGCACTTATTTCATGTTTACTATACCTCCTTCTAATGTAAATACGATTTTGGCGGAGACAAAATGAAAAGATTTCACCTTCCATATTATTCTTATTAACACCTACCTCTCATCAAAGTGGATCATTGGTGTAAAATGGCAAATTTAGACAGAACTAGTGATTTAGATGAGTTGAAAGGGAAAAGGAGGTGGTCAGGAGGAGCAGTGTGGGGGTCTGGAGAGGGTGGTACGTTTTATACATCTGTGAAGGTTTTTCCTCTCAGGAAAAGGAACTAATTGTGGTTTCCTAATTTCAAGCCAATCAACATCTTCAATGCTGTCTTTGTGTGTGTGTGTTTTACCCAATTATGGGAAAAAAAGGTAAGTAAAGTAGTGGACATTACTTAGTCTAGCAGAAATGAATTTGCGAAGAAAGGGCTAGGAATTTTTCCTTTCTTTTATCTGACCTAAAATCAGCAGGATGCAGGCCAGAGCTAACTTTTGTCCCCAGGCATTCTGACCACCTTATACCTTTTTCTTCAACACCAGTTTTCTAAAGTGCCAGCCAAGACTGGTAACGATGTAAATAGCCCCTCAGTGAGCCCTGCCAGGATTTTCTCTAGTGGGGCAGGATTTTCTCTAGTGGGGTGTGTGAAGCCTTTTAAGAGGGTGGAAGGAGGGGTGTGTGTGTGTGTGTGTGTGTGTGTGTGTGAAACACACTCTCCAGCCCTCACCTGCGGGAAACTTATTTATGTGATTTGAGTTTGTTTGCTTCTCTCTGGTTCACACCAACTCAAGTTTTGTTAGGTGCCAGGGTTGTTGGGCCATTGGGGTGTTACCCCCTGGGAGCAGATAGGGCAGAAGGGACAGGGAGCTCTGTAAGGGAGAGGGCATGGCAAATTCAATGGCTGCTACTGTC